GTTTGTGAAGGCCACATTCACAGAAATATTAAAAACTAGCAGCCGTTTTTGGAAATTTGGATTGTTGTAGTGACATAACTACAATAGTTAGACATATATGCTACCGCGGAGTTTTTTGTAGACATTATGATGTTCTTCAATATTGTTGTACATTATTTTGTTCAATCGCTAATAGTTTCGACAGCGCATTCGACGAAAGACATTTTAAGACTAATTTTTCTACACCTTCGGTTACATTGTTCAAATTTTACCAAGGATCCCTATTTTTTTCATGATGAAATGTAGCCTATGTCAAATTGGAAGAATGTAGCATTCTATTGGTGAAAGAATTTTTTAAATCGGCCCAATACTTTTTGAGCCTATTCATTACAAACATACAAAAATAGGTACAAATCTTTCCTCTTTATAATATTAGTATAGATATAGATATATCTGTGGCCACAATCCTTGCTAATGTAACGAATGGTTTGCTTAATACTATTCTTCTTATAAAACAAAGAAGATCCAAAAAATTTTAAAGAGCACCTACCTATTCTAATTTGTGTCGTCCGGTCCTAACTCCACGGGCAAATTCAATAACGAACCGTATGGTCGCGTGCGCATCTTTTACTAGCTGATCATCTGAAATCTAGTGTAGTGGTAAAATCGTCTAGTGGTCAGAAGAAGTGTGACTACCGAGAAGAGGTTCGACTCCCTGATTTGACTAAATAAGATTGGGATTTCGATTGTCGAATGTTGCCGCTTTCATGTAATTCATAACAATTAGGTACTTCTTAATACGTAGGTACTTAACTGGTAAAAAGAAGTAACTTTTAATATAGGTAACACATAAGTATTGTGTCTGCCTAACCCTTCAGGAATTATACTTAAGTCTTGTAATTTTATCCTATATCACAGGCCTCACAGAAAACCGACGTGAAACAACACTTACATTGTATTTAGTCGTATGTACCTATACCCCTCCCCCTGTCTTCCTAATCCCCGAATCCATAAAAATCCTTAAATTCGACATATATAGATATAGCTATATATATCTATATCTGTGTTAAATTGCTAATGCCCAAAAGGCCGATAACGCACTTGTAACGCCTCTGGTGTTTTGGGTGTCCATGAGCGGCGCCGATTGCCGATTGCTTACCATTCGGGTGATCGGTTTGCTCCTTTACCGGCTTATTCCTTAAAAAAAAAATGTATTTTTGAACCTCTAGTGAATGTATTCTACTTAGATTTAGTTGACGAATTGACTGTGTAGTTTAAACAGTATATTGATTATGTCACCCACACCATAATATTATTTATCATCAAGCTTCTAATATAAATAACGGATCGATATTATTATGGTTATGCCAAATTATAGCACGTACTGCCTACTCATAATACGTCGCTCATTTGGAAACAGGTGCTTAATTTAAATACCTGCCTATCTTATTAGGTAATGGTAAATAGGATTTTCGTTTTTAAGTACCAATTTCTTCCTACCTATCTATCTAAACTGTATTTAAAAATCAAACTGTTTATGAAATCTCTGCCACTTCAAGGCAAGACTATAATAATAATTATAGGTACGTACTTAGATACCGTAAAGATATTTATAAGTAGTCTAGGAAATACTGTATTGCATTTCTATTAATTTAAACAATTAGGTACTTAGGTAATGTTAATGATTTTTGTTCCAGACCTATATTAATTTAGTACCTACTCATCTAAAAAGCAAATAAATGGGCATAGGTACTCGTAAGTACCTACCTACTCTCAATCTCATTTTAAAACCATGACGGTAATGAATAACGAACAGACGTTAATTAAAACATAGAATTCATTAATTAAAATTATGACGAAATAAGTAGAAAATATTTTAATGGTTCTGCCGTCATTACCTGCCCATAAACGAAAGTTAGTTACAAAGTAATATCACAGAAAATTATTAATTTCTCATTTTCTGTGTGATCGTTACAAAAGTCATTCAGGCATGCACGTATTGACAGTACCTACCACTTCTTAGACTGTATAATCCTATGTTAATTAAACAAGCCAAATGTAAATGAACACTCACTTATTGGTCTCTCGCCGTAAATGGCTTCAGGAGGAAAGTCAGGGACGATAGTTCGGGATGCTTTCCGTCCATAAATTGCATAATCAGGGCCAGGGGAAATTATTTCTTCAGGCGGAGTCCTCTTCCATCTTGGCGGTGGTAGTGGCGGCTCTTCTCCAGAATCATAGTTTTTCGTGGGTACATAGTAAAAACTAGCACTGACTGGCTCGCCGGCAAACGAATTGAAATTCTCTCCCTGACTGGATTCTGCTGTCTCTGCTTGCATCATTCCGTAGGCCTCGTTGTCCCAAGGATCCAGGTACACCCGGTGATTGCTTGGTGGTGTTTGGGCTTCTTCTCCTTCACTATCGAAATCTACTGCAGCCCAGTAGGGACTTCCTGCGTGTCCTGGCATTGCTATTGATCAGGTGAACACTAACACTGTTTGTTGTGAGCCGTCACAACGATTCTAGGATGTTTTGCACACTGAAGCACCAGTCATTTGGACACATAACTATCACCACACGTTCGCGCGCTCAGTCTGATATGGTCTTGTGTGTACTTGATATTCTTGGCTTGAAAACACTATTTGTTATGCTCAGCACGATCGCGTGGACATTCGACAAACGAACGTTGCAATCGCCGGGAGAGTTACGCGGCACGAGGCACATATGCGCGGGCGCACGCCGCGGCACTTGTCTTCAAATGGCGAGGTGTGTGCAAGCCGCTGTAACGTACGCTAGAGAAGATGCAATAGATATTAGAAATGTAAACGAACTGCGGTTCACACGCGAACTTTAAGCAGTTTTTATAGTCTTTAACTTATTATAGCTATTTTAAAATCATTAACAATTTGAAACAGGTTTAGGATGCGTTTTGACAAATTGATACGATGACTAACAGTATTATTGTTATAATAATAACCATTAACCGTGATTATAATATTAAGTGGGTAGTCATTGACATAAAGCCATAGGTGCCTAGTACCTACCTACTAAATCCTTACTCATCAGGGACGCGTGATGATGAGTTCGTAAAGGCATTATGAGTGGGTGGAAATGAAATATTTAAGCAGTGGGTGGAAAATTCATAGTTTGACGGTCTCGTTTGCATCGCAGATCTAGAGGACGGAAAGTTCATTCGTGTTTCTAATTTTTGGCAATGACTTAATATACGGATTCCTAGTTACCTATTAGATGGCGGTAACTCACATGGAACGTGGCTTTACATCATTTGCATGCCATTTAGTTAAAATTAAAGAATTTACTTCAAAATTTGAAATACATATTATGTAACAGGTAAGACGGCATCTAATCTACTTATATTTTGTCGCGGAGAACCTAACGGGTAACCGGGGCTCTGATTCGACGTGCAGGAGAAGGAACGGAACGGGGTGGTTTTTAGTCAGTAAGAGTCTGACACTCCCTCCCGCCTCACCCAGGCGGGAGCAGTCATTCGATGATTTTCCCCCCTTAAAAAAAATCTACTTAGGTATATTTTAATACTAATAAATATTTTTCCACAACTTTATGCCACGTTAAGTACCTTTTTATTCTGTGCCCACGCGAGAGGCACGACATACCTGGGCGGTTTCTAATCAGTAAGACCCTGATATAATACTTCGTCTTTTGAAGGCGCGATTCGAGGTATTTAATAGTGATGTCAAAAATGTTTTTCCGCGGACACGGGTCCGGATACGGATAATTAGTGTCAAGATATCCGCGGATACGGATACGGATCTTTATTTTCTAAGTCAATCGTTGTGTGCTTTATTTATCTTCCGCAACCGGTAAAACAGGATTTCAACAACCTTTTTTCAAAGATTATATGGAAAAAGCTGGAATGTGGGACAATACAAACCCCAAATCTATAAAAATTTATTATAACGTTTCAGCAATCAATGCTGAAATGTTATCTTTATCAGATTTGCCAACACGTAGAACAATGAGGAATCATATTGTTCCAAATTATGTTTTAAAGGCAGAAAGTATTTTACGGAACTTGTTTGCAACGAACTTTATAGATAAAGTGGCATCAAAACTAAAACACGTGTCACAAGATTTTGGAAAATTTCCTTCATGATATCTGGTCAGACTCATCATCAGGAGTTTCATTGTTATCGTTAACATGTCACGGTATTACCAAAGACTTTCAACGAAAAACATCGTTTTGAAAGCGCAAGTTCTTGAAGAACGTCATACGGGGGATTATATTTCAGAAAAATTTCAGTGTACTGTACATATGTTGGAGAAATGGGGACTTCAGAAACAAAATGTACATTGTATGGTACGAGATGGAGGATCCAATATGAAGCGCGCGTGTTCTTTATTAGAAATAAATACTATTGACTGTACAACTCATCAGTTATTATGCAGCATTTTATCCTGTTAATTTAATGTAAAAGATCCGTGAGGAAAGTGACGGATACGGATACGGACACGGACCTTATTTCTCCCGCGGATATCCGCGGATACGGATCTCCGGAACATCACTAGTATTTAATAATAAACTATTGTTTTCTTACCACCTTAGGTATTGACAAAAAGCGTTTGTAAACTTTTTTTATGATGACGCTAGTGCTGCAATCTAGTGACAATGTGACAAGTTCCCGTTTGTCTCGCTGGATGATAAAAATATCGCGTACAATTTTTCATTTGTGTTTTTCTGTACAATTTTTAATGTAATTTAATACGACAAAGTACGCACTAGGTTGCTCTTATTTTTCATGGGAGTACAATTTTATTTATTTTGTATCATCCGTCCATCCATCATCCACCGTGATTGTGGTGCATGTGGTATTTACTACATGGCAACAGATTTTTTATTATGGCAACTATCTAGCTGTCTTACTTCGCGCCAGAAATGCGTTTTGTGTCAAAATGTCTGTATTATTTCGACTTTGAATAAATGTGATAACAAGTACTGTGCATTTACGGATATTTAGGGTGATTCGTCCATAAAAGTACGTTAATTGTGTTTTAGTACTTCTTAGAATTGATGTAGTTTCGAGGATACAGCTCTCGTGAAGTGGTGGTAACCATTGGCTTGGTTTTGTTTCGTACGACTATATCTTTTTTGTAACTATAGATGTACTACAGTTTTGATGTCAACGAGTACGTTCGTGTTATATTATGTGCATACAATCACCCAATTCAGTTTCGAACTAACTTGTGTTGCTCATATTGCTGCGTGTTTGTGACTTGCCCTGCAACTTGTATTGAAATCGTGTTTCAGAAATGCCGGACGAAAACATCTGTACGGACGTGAAATCTATTTTGGATCGGTTGGAAAACAATGGTTTGCAGAACTACATAGTGAGATCACAGGAGTATCAAAAATTACTGGTTGCTTTGGGTAAAGACGAGGCTTTGAGCGTATCGGAGACCGACAAATTGTTAGAAATATGTGCACGAGACTTAAAAGAGGAGCTGCGGTACGCCGCCACACTCATGAACATTATTTCTATCATAGTCACCAGAGTACAGGTACCTAATTCACACTATACTGTTTTGTTTGTATTAGTAATGTAGGTCAACATAATGTTGAAATATCCTAAATTTGAATGTTCTTAACTTTACAGAAAGGTAATTACAACCACTGTCCAAACCTGGCACCATCAGCTTTAGCAGTGATACATATAATAACGACAATAGCATTGCACAGCAAGGTGGATACTTTGAAACAGTTATGTTATGATACATTGCTTTCTTTTCCTGATGAGACAATTGCAGCACTTGCAGACCACCATGAACAAGTCATGGAAGTCTTCAACCTCTACTGCCATGTCAGAATACCCAGTAAAATTAAATTTCAGGTAAATGTTTTATTATAACCCCACTTTGAGAGTTAATTGTGTTAATTTAATTAGCTGAAATGTCTTTGTTTTCTTTACAACTTTGTCCAATGAAAGCCTTTTTAGGTAAACAAAAATTACCAAATGAGTCATGTGGTAAATGATAAGCTACACTAGTACTTATGCATATCATAAATTATAACAACTGAGCACTTTCATATGCAATATTTGTTCTTGTGTTTTATAAAATGTACCTTTAATTAACCGCTTGAATGCCCGTAAATGCGACACAATAGAAAATAAATTTTGTCTCTCATGGATCCATGTTTAGACACAACGGGTTAAACATAATAAATACTTCTGATTAGAATAACATAAACTTCACATGATGATTAGAAAACTTTCATTAATATCATTTATGAATGTATAAATACCATATCAGTTCACTCATAATATGCTTGTTTGTGTACATAAAGATGTTCAAATAAATAAAATAAATTTATGAAAATAACTATATTAAAAAGTTTAGTACCTCAAACATTTTAAAAAAGTTTCAAAAGTTATTTGCAGGAACTTAATAGGTAGATCTTAATTTATAGGATATTCTTGCTAGTACAGGCATTCAAATTTAGTGAGATCTCTTATTTTTAATTAATATGTTTATCTGTATTATCACTAATTTATTACAATTTGTATATATATAGTATAAAACAAAGTCGCTATATGCCATATTTCTGTCCCTATGTATACTTAGATCTTTAAAAATACGCAACGGATTTTGATGCAGTTTTAGAGTGATTCTTAAGGAAGGTTTATATGTATAATACATGCATATTGCACCCGCGCGAAACCCGGGCGGGTCGCTAGTAATTTCATATAATAATTTATTAAAGATTTAAGATTTTTACTAACAAAAAACTTATGAGTGTAATGTAGTGTTAATTTGTATTAATTTCATGTCTAAACATATTAAAATGTTTACAGGCATGTTCTATTCTACACAAAATATTGAAATTACTGGAGCCTGAAAAGAAGGCACAATTTGTGGAGAAAGGGATATCCGTTTGGTTTTCAAAGATTTTTCCCACCCTAATGAACAGTTTGGCCTTGGATATGACAGAACTGGACATTACTGTAGAAATATTGGAACATTTAACTGAAGAGCTGGTGGCATTTGATTATACTGAAAATCTCCAATGGCACTATGTTCTAGAATGTATCTGCAATCCACAGAAGTAAGTAAAAACTACCATTAGTATTTTGTTAATAAGGTAAACAGTGTTTTAACTCCATAAAGCTTAAACTTAATATTATTTCAGATATCCAACAATAATGAAAAATCTATTGATACATAAAAGTGGTATCTGGCACCGAGTTTGGATGGTATACATTAAGCTACTTAAACATCAAATCACACAAGCAATGGGCAACATTGGTACTCCAATAAATTCAATGTTACCAGTTGTTGAAGCTGCATTCAAATTGGATGTGGAGAACAGATGTAAAGCATTTGAATGCTGGACTGTACTCATTGACAGTTTCTCAACTGAAACAAATGAAAGCAACATAAACAAAAGAATCAAACTGTTAATCATCCCGCTTAAGTCAAATAATGCTAAAGCCGAGGAAACTGCCTTAGCCAAGTTTAAATGTTGGTGGCATTTATTACAGAAATTCCAAAATAAAATAGACAAATTCATTGACACAATTTTGGTCACATTCTTACATTTCTGCTTTGGAAAGCACAATGCCACGGATAAGACGATTATTGTGCCTGGACAGATATCAATGCCACTGAAGAAACTGTGTATTCAGGCTATCGTAGACTTGGTGGGTCATGTTAATTGTGACGGATGCACTGAATTGCCTAAACTGAAAGGGAAAATGATAAACACTAAGAATTTAGTGGATAATTGGAATCACTGGATCTTTTCTTTGACTTCAACCATAATGATGTCTGCAAATTCAGATGAAGGCTTGACGAAACAGCAGATGACATGTTTGTGGAAGTCATTCCTCTTGACTATTGGTGATCTGCCTGAAAACACCATAAGAAAAGATCTCTTCTCTGAAATGTTATCTATTTTAGTTCATTTAGTACAGGTAATTATTATTATTCTTATTGTGCAATGTTATTTATTAGCGAGTTGGTTGTGGACATAACTTTGGCATATTTTCATGCTAATTTTTGTTTATTAGAAGGGTTAAATATGTTTGTTCTTTCAGGAATGCAAAAATAACAGCAAGCTGACGGATATAGTATTCAATGCTTTACTAGTATCAATGTTTGATGGAGACACAAGGATCAAACAACTTATGAAATCAAAGAATGACGTCACTCATCCTCTTTGTAAGATAACATCGGCTTTACTGAATCCTGCATTGCACCATGCGTATCAAAGGTAAAATATTATGTAAGATTAGCTGTTGCCGTGACTTCGTCCGTGTAGAATATAATTCCTGTTTTATCCCATGGGAGCATTTATTCGAGATAAATAGTATCTTACCATCTCAGTCAGCGCATACCCTGCCTGTATACCAAATTTCATCGAAATCAGTTTAGTAGTTTGAGCGTGATTTTCGGTCAAATATCCAAACAAAGAAACTCACATTTATAATATTAAGTAGTGTGATTGGTCCACTCAGTTTAGTAACAATAATTATTGAATTATGTGACAGACAATTCTACCTAATTAGGTTAGTAGGAACCTAAATTAGGAAGTCATAGTTTGCTCTATCATGATTCACACCACCCATTCGCACGAAGCGTCAAGCTTCCTCATGCAAACCGCTAAGGAATGGAATTCCTTAAGTCTGTGTTTTCCATCAAATATTACTTGGGTGTCTTCAAGGCCCGAGTGAACGGGTTGCTCATAGGTAGACGTGCTCCATCGTCGGCAACATCATTGCTTACCACGACGCAGGCGAGATGGTGGCCAAACGCCGACCTATAAAGTATAAAAAAAAATCATAAATAAGTATACAATGAGGCGTGACATTTGTAAAATTTTTACACGACAATTTCGTCAAATTTTTTTTGGTTAAATGTACATATTTTATAATTTGTCATTATTTTAATTGATATGTGTACGTGATAATAAAAGAAAATTGTTATCAAAACTTCTTAACAAACTGGATGCCGTGTCTTTACAAGTGAAACAATTGAATTTATTTCTGCAAATAGGCTACAAGGCTATTTATTACACGTATTTTTTTTACGTTTACGATGTGGTCTGAGAAGAAATGCCAAAACTAACTCAGAGGTCCGTCTCATTTAACCATTTTTGTCGGCAGTTAAAATGCTTTTTTTTATTTCAGTTGTACCTTCAAAGAGATGGTAACAAAATTACTGCCTCTAACAAACATGTTATTAGATCCAGCTTATTGCTCGCCAACATTTGCCATAGGATACATCTTAAAGAACTTGACTGCCACGGATATTTCTTTGACATTCTGGACTGCGTTGTCAGAATCAATTTGTGAAACTCAATATGACATTTGTACACTAAGCTTGTGTAATATCATGATGTGGCCATTGGAGAGAGTGCAATCGTTTAAAAATGTAAGTATTAAATTATATTTATACAGTTTGAACCTTAGGGGCCATCCATAAATTACGTCACAACTTAAGGGGGAGGGAGGGGGTCGACGAAGTGTGACATTGTGTGACAAGGGGGAGGGAGGGATCCAAAACTTTGTGATGTCACCTTTCAAAAACTAATAGTTAATCTGTGTTAAAATACGAAACATAAATGTATTAATGTTTTTTATTAAGTTAATTGTTTGATTTGACATTAATATTTTTTTAAAGTAATTTAAGTGAAAAAACAATAGTTTCTATACTGTAATTCTGCAAATTGTGACGTCACACTAGGGGGGGGGGCGTCTCACAAATGTGACTAGCTGTGACAAGGACGGGGGAGGGGTATAAAAATCATGAAATTCGTGTGACGTAATTTATGGATGACCCCT